ATTATTATTATTATTATTATTATGGATATTCCAAACAACAACAAATCCAAATTGTTGTGTATAATAGCCAGAGGCTTCGTTTGTCACCAGTTTGAATCAGAATATATAAACCTGTATATATAAATAATCCCTTCCCCAAAAATAATGATAAAAAAGTGATCACTTAATTCACGATTGTCTGTGGGACGCTGTTGTGCACAATTTGGCTGCGGCATTTTGCCCACAAAATATACAGTCAATTGACATTACAGTATATTCTGTGAAGCGCTTTGAGACGTCTCAATGACGTGATAAGGCGCTATATCAAATGCAGTGATTATTATTATGTATAATATATTATTTCCTTTCATATTAATGCTGAATTTTCCACCCAGCGCTGACGTTATTTATTTGCGTTAAGCGGGTCCAACATGTTAGCCCCGCGTGAATGGCGCTCGATAAATGCAAGTCGTTGGTTGATGTTATTGAGTGAAAGTTGGCTCTCGTCAACTGAATTGCTCCAACACTGTTAATTTGAACCATTTGCCGGGGCTTTTTTTTTGAGCCGTCAACATCTTTAATAAGCAGCTTTGAGCTGCAGTAACTAAATCATAACGTCTGGCCAAGCTGCGTTCTGAAACTGCGGTGTGCAAAAAAAAAAATCAGTGGCAAGAAGTGTTACAGTCCCACGTCCAAACCCAGACAGATGGGCTTTAGACTTCTTCCATCTCTGGCAGCTGCGATGACTCACTGGAGAAGGCGTTCTGGCAAGCCTGCTCCCCACGGTCATGAATTCACAGCAGAAACATTACCCCAGATCAGCACGTGATCAGGCTGTGTTTCTCTGAGAGTTCAGGCTGTTGTGGGCTGAGTTCTGCTGCTGTTGATACAGAGTCCCGTAGCGTAGTGGTTAGCGCACTCGCCTCGTAAGCAAGAGGACCCGGGTTCTATTCCCGTGTAGAGCGAATCCTTCGACAAGTTTCCTTACTCCTCACGCCTCTGTTTACCGAGGGACCTGGTTGTTAATCGAATGGTGGATCGCTTTCTGTAATAACCCCTTCAAAAAATAAATAAATAAATAATAATTTGGTCACTCACTCAACGACTGTTTGTGGGACACTGCTGTGCACAATTGACTGCCACGTTTTGCCCGCAAATTTTAGTCAATTCACTTGACAGTATCTTCTGTGAAGCGCTTTGAGACGTCTCAATGACTTGATAAGGCGCTATATGAAATGCAGTCTTTATTGTTTCATTTACCGTCCACTGAACATGGGTTTAACATCAGATCTGAAGGATGATACCTCCGCCCACCCAGTACCCCCAGCACTGCACTGGAACATCACATTTGACGAGGAAGTAATAAGCACAACCAGCCCGATATTTCACACAACAGAACTCTGTGTTCATCATTAGCATCACTTGACACAAATGATCTGATTCACCCACCACGATTTCCCTGCTAAGTGTTACAAATGGGTTTAAAAGCGGTCTTTGCAATTTATAAAACAAAACAGCAGCTACTCAGGCCTTTTTTTTGCTCAGCCGGGTGTCTGACACATGCGGAAACCCATCACTGTGCTTAAGTGTCCCCAAACCAAACTGAGAATTACATGCGTCCCACCTACACATTGGAGTCCTAGAGACAGATTGTTGGAATGAAATGTGCTCTCTCTCGCTGGAGGGAGGCATCCTCCTTACCTAATTCGGAAAGCATTAGGCGCAGGTTGGCAAGAACCAAGGCTTCGGGAACCCCGGAGTGTGCTTTGGAGAAATTGCTGGAGTCTAACCAGCTAAAACTACATAGCTTGCCATTTACATTGCTGTCTGACAAGCTTTTCCGCTGCTTGTTCAGCCAGGAGCACCCTATCCATTGGGGCTTTGGGTTAACAGGAGCTGAGTGGGATGACTCCTTGCTCCTTTGTCCAGATTACATTAATATTTTGCCTTTTGAAAAGCCAATTTACTCCGTGTTCCCAGCAGTATGGAAATAGCTTTTCTCCCAATCCATTATACGTTGTGTGATCTAAGTGTGAACAAAGACAAAGGGATTAGAACAGCAATGATTAGCGAACATCTTTTCTGTCTCCAGATCACATTGCTGTGTAATGAGATAGGCTGCGAGATAAATCACATTACCCCTATCGCGATGCCGTTGGATTTAATATAATTCTGATAATCAAATTAGAAATTGAAAACAGTAATTAGTTAATGTAAGTTACATTGAAACGCACACTCACTGTGTGGTGTGTTGTAAAAGCTTTGTAATCAGCTTTCAGCACTGCCACAACTACCAGTAAGTATTGAGCAATACCCTTATTCCTGTTAAACACAATACAAAGGGATGTCAACATGGTCTGGCTGGTGATAAAAAGGGCCCTCTCTGTCTTTCACGCGCAGTCGAGACTGCAAGGGCCAGGAGCCCGTGGACCAGCTCTTCCTGGAGTGTTGGTACATGAAGGCAGTTTGGAACCAGGTAGAATGGCTGCTCTCACGGTTCATCTCTGGGGACCCGCTGTCACGATCCTCAGTACTGTACGTCCTCTTCCCGGGCATCCACAGCGAAACCTACATCGAGTCGCTGCTGGAGGATCATCAACTCCTTGAAGAAGGGCCTTTGGCTCCTGAAACCTGATGGTCTTCCGGCAGGGCGAGGTGTGAGAGACAACAACGACGACTTACGTTTATACAGCACCCTTCAGGTGGGGTAGCGTCTTGGGAACGCTTGACAGCGGTGGAGTATGGCAACAAGTCAAGGGGGAGAGGGAGGGGGGAGGTGACCGTAAGCACGATCAAAAGGAAGGTCTTCAGGCGGAATTTGAAGGTGGGGAGGGAGGGGGTAAGGCAGAGGGATCGAGGGAGAGAGTTCCAGAGTTTCTGGGTGTAGTGGCTGAAGGCACGGCCACCGATGGCGGAGCGGAGGGAATGAAGTGATTTGAAAACGAGTGAGAGGATCTTGAAATCGATCCGTTCGGTGATTGGGAGCCAGTGGAGCCCGGCAAGGCCTAGTGAGATGGGGGGACAGAGTTTAGTGCAGGTGAGTATCCGGGCGGCGGAGTTTTGAATTAGTTGGATTTTGTGTGTGGTGGAGATGGGGAGAACAGTGAGGAGGGCATTGGAATAGTCCAGCCGGGAAGTGACGAAGATGTGGACGAGGGTTTCAGCTGCGTCGGTTGTTAGGTACGGGCGGAGGCGGGCAATGTGGCGAAGGTTGTAAAATGAGGCCTGCATCAGGCTCGTGCACGTTAGGATCAGGAGCTGTGTGCTGAGGGTCTCGCTGAAGCTCGGATCAGCCGCAGCAAAGGCCAGATAAGCCCTGACCCCAGTCAGAGACGCTCCTGCCCAAAGCCACGCCAACATCGGCATCACATCCCCAAGCGCCAGGGTCCCTACCAGTGAGAGGGCGACATCAGGGCTCGCTCACCGGGTAACCCACCAGCGCACCCAAAACTGTAAATAACATGGGTGTAGCCATGTAAATGTACAGAGGGACGCTCGAGGTCAAGGACAAGCCCAGCTGTGTAAATGCTCCCTGTAGATAAAGGGAACAGAACCCCTGGCAGGGATGTGGCGGTGACAGAGGTGGGACTGGTTTGGGCTGTTCTCGTGCACGAGCAGGTTTTTGTTTGTGTTTGCGAGGTTTGCGGGTGTGTGTTTGGGTAAACATGTGTGTGTACGGTGCACATCGGGGCGCCATCTGGAAGCGGCAAGTGTGCGGGCGCACACATGGATTTCGCGCACACAGGGACGTTTCCCGACTGTATTAAAGGGAGCGTCCCAAAAATGTGTGCGGTTAACAACAACAATAACAAATTACACTTGTATAGCGCTCTTCACGTTGGAAAGATTTCCCAGGGCGCTGCACAGTCGGGGTTTTTGGACCCGAGCTGGGGGTTGGGGTCAGGAGTGGAGGGCACGGGGAGGTGGGGGGTGGTGGGATGGCCAAAGGCAAGGTCGAACAGGAAGGTCTTCAGACAGGACTTGAAGGAGGCAAGAGAGGGGGTGAAGCACAGGGATTGCGGGATAGAGTTCCAGAGTGTGGGGGCAGAGATGCTGAACGCCAAACCGCCAATGGAGGGGCGGGAAACACGGGGGAGCTGAAGCAGGCCGCTGTCCGCCGAGCGGAAGGAGGTTATGAGGTCAGAGATGTGGGGGGAGCAAGACCGTGGAGGGCCTTGAAGGTAAGAACGAGGGTTTTGTACTCGATTCTCTGAGGAATGGTGAGCCAGTGAAACCGGACAAAAACGGGGATGATAAGTTCCCAGAGACTGTTGCGAGAGAGGACCTGAGCTGCAGAGTTCTGAATAATCTGCAGCTTGTGGAGGGAAGAGTTTGGAAGTCCAGTGAGCGGGCAGTTGGCGTAGTCAAGCCCGGATGTAATTAAAGTGTGAATCAGGGTCTGGGCGGCCTGCGGTGAGAGGCAGTGGTGGAGATGGGCAATGTTGCGGAGGTGTGTAAAGGCGGAACGGGTCACGGCACAAATGTGCGGTCTGAAGGATAGCAAAAAAGAACACCGATGTTTCGGATTGGCTCAGTGAGGTGAAGAGTGCAGCCACGAATAGGGATAATATCAACGGTTGAGGTGAGGGGGCGCTGCCGAGAGCCAAACAGGAAGGCCTCTGTCTTGCCAACATTGAGCTGGAGGAAATTGGCTCTCGTCCAGGACTTGATGTCAGACAGACAATTAGCCAGGACATCAACGGTCCTGGAATCAAGGGTGGAGACGGCGAGCTAGAGTTGACTGTCATCTGAATACGTGTGGAAATTAGCATTTATAGATTGAAGAGGGGATCAGAACTCTCCATCAAAGTGGAGTGCGTAGAGGCAAGCCCCACACACACCGCCCCCCAACCCCCCCACGCACACCGCCACCCCCCACTCCCCCAGACCGCCCCCCACCCACCCACACCGTTCGCCCACAAACACACAAAGTCACCGCACTTCACAGCGATGCCTGTATCGAATGCAGGGATTATTATTTTATTAAACATCACACTTATTTATCCAAATTTATTAATCCAAGCCGTGAAATAAGCAAAAAAAAACAATGACATCAGAGGGCTGTGGATAAACAACCCGCTTTAATTTTTTTCTTTATCGTCAAACAGACAGACGCAAGGAACTTAGGAGCCCGAGAGTGAAATTTTGTTCGATAAAATTACTCCTTTCGCTTTGAAAGTCGACGCACAAGTGGAATTGGAAAAGTGTAAGGCAAAAATCTATCCTTCCTATTTCATTAAATGGTTAGTCTAGAATGGGGGGAAAACCCCCCAAACACACAATGTCACCAGCCCACACCGGCAATAACTTCAGAGCTGGAACCTCCCAGTTTCAGGTCGGAGGGTTTGGACGTTCAATATTGTTCAAAGCGACTGACAAAGACCCTGAGAGATGAAAAGGGCAAAACTGTCACATTCTCATTTTACATAAGCAATTAATAAATAGACACATACGATATTGACTCTCCCCAACCCCCACCTTATAACATTTGGGAGGGGGGGGGGGGGGGGGTGAGGGAGAAAGTCAATAAACTGCCAGCTAACGTTGTGAAGGGGGCGCGATCCCCAGTCAGGAATTCCATATTTACTGACATCCCACACAAAAAAAAGTCAGATTTCATAGTCATCAGGTCGCTGCAGCGGCAGGAAGTGATGTGGCCGGTAATCTGATGACCCGGAAATCAGCCTTGAAGCCAGCTGGTTATTTTTGGTCGATAAACGTTGGGGTCCCCACCCCAATAATGATTTTTCTTTTAGGAAATAACATTGTGGGATATAATGCATTGGTAGTTCGGGACATGTGTGCAAGTGATCGCTAGGGAGGTGGAAGGTGAACTAGATGGACCTTGGTCGTTTTTCGTCAGCATTTCTTATGTTCTTATGATAATAATATTAATAATAATAATCCTTGCATTTGGTACAGCTCCTTATCATGTCGTCGAGACGTCTCAAAGCGCTTCAAAGAATATACTGTAAAGTGAATTGACTGAACATTTTGTGGGTGAAACGCCGGCAGCCAATTGCGCACAGAGCGGAGTCCCACAAACAGTCGCGGATTGAGTGACCAAATTATTATCGACTGCAAGTTTTGTGGGTGAAACATGCACAGCAGTGTACCACAAACAGTAATAAATAATAACATAATTAATATTAACACAAACAATAAGCAAACTGAAGGGGGTGTGGGGTGGGGGTTGGGTGTAGCGGGAATCTCTGCTGTATTTTCTCAGAAGCATTTCTATTATAATAATAATAATCCTTGCATTTGTTATAGCGCTTTTTCAGTCTTCTCGCCGTCTCAAAGCGCTTCACAAAATAGACTGTAAAGTGAATTGACTGTATATTTGTGGGCGAACGCGGCAGCCAATTGCGCACAGCAGTGTCCCACAAACAGTCGTGGATAGAAGTGACCAATTTTATTATTGTTTTTTTTTGAAGAATTATTATTATCTGGGTGTCGTGATGGGCCAGAGGAACAATAACAACTCAAGATTACCTTTAGCTTTTGATTATGATCAAAGGGCCCACATTGTCTCCGCTCACTGCATTGTGTTGACTGTGAGACCCATCACAGTACGGAAACTGCAACACACATTCACTGAGTACATAAGACGTTCCAAACCATAAGCAAACTTGCATTGCATAACGTGCCTTTTCACCAGCTCCTGATAACCCCGCGAGCTTGACGGGTAGGGTGGTCCGAGCTGAACAAACAGCGGGAAAAGCTTACCCGACACTGCTGTCAGTGGCAAGGTTTTACCAGCTGGTTAGATTCACGCAGTTACGCCAACCCACACTCTGGGCTCCCCCCACCGAGCCTTGGCTCCTGCCAACCTGCGCCTAATACTTTCTGGAATTAGATAATCAGGATGTGTCCCTCCAGGGAGAGAGAGAGAGCGAGCGAGTGAGAGAGAGAGAGAGAGAGGGAGAGAGAGAGAGCAGAGCGCACGTTCCATTCCAACAATCTATCTCTGGGATTTACATATGTAGGTGGGGTAGAAATCTGTTTGGTGGGAGGGGGGGCGGAATTATTAACCCCGGAAAGCGTTCCGCCAATCGACTAACAATTCAGCCCCTCGAGGAGCTCTCGCTCGCATCGCTGTCACCGACCCAGTGTTAAGCTTTCCCAAACAGACGGCACAAGCCGAACGAACCTTGTTGGATCTCCAGCACCTGCAGAAGACGGTGTTCTGGCCCATATCTTCTATGTCCACCGTGTCCACCACCTCGGGCAGGTTCTTGTGGATTCCCAGGTTCACTCTGCCCTCCCCGAGCTTCCGGCCGCTGAGCAGCCGGTACAGGAGGTAACTGCTCAGCACGGCCGTCAGGACCAGCGGCGCAGCCGAAACACGGTAACCTGCGGTCAGACCCCCACATGTCAGAGACACAACAACAACATTACATTTATAGAGCGCCTTTCACGTCGGGAGGACGTCCCAAAGCGCTGAACAGTCCGGTGTCGGGGCCCGGGCATGGGGGGGGGGGGGGGTGGGGGGGTGGTGTAGGGGTGAGGGAAGGCAGAGAAGTGGGAGGGAGACCAAAGGCACAGTTGAAGAAAAGGGTCTTGAGACCGGCCTTGACGGGGGCGAGGGAGGAAGCGAGGTGAAGTGACTGTGGGATGGAGTTCCAGAGTGTGGGGGCAGAGAGGCTGAAAGCCCGGCCACCGATGGTAATAATAATAATAATAATAATAATAATAATAATAATAATAATAATAATAATAATAATAATAATAATAATAATAATAATAATAATCCTTGCATTTGATATAGCGCTTTTCACGTCGGGAGGACGTCCCAAAGCGCTTCACAGAACACACTGTAAAGTGAATTGACTGTATATTTGTGGGCGAACGCGGCAGCCAATTGCGCACAGCAATGTCCCACAAACAGTCGTGGATTGAAAATGACCAATTTATTATTGTTTTTGGTTTTGGAGGGATTATTATTAGGCTCTGTGTGGAGTAAGGAAACTTGCCCAAGGTTTCGCCCTCTGCCTGGAATTGAACTCAGGTCTCTCACTTGCAAAGCGAGCGCTCTAACCACTGAGCTACAGGACTCCACCAGATAGGGCGGGTCGGGCGGGAGATATGGAGTAGACCGGAGCCCCCAATGAATACAGGGAGGGGGCAGGTTGGTAGGGAGTCCGCAGGTCGGAGAGGGAGGAGGGGGCGAGGCCGTGGATGGCCTTGAAGGTGAGGACGAGGATCTTGAATGCGATCCTCTGAGGGATGAGGAGCCGGTGGAGTCGGGCAAAGGTGGGAGTGATGGGGTCACGAAGCCCAGAGGCCATAATAATATTTATTATTATTATTATTATTATTATTAATAATCATAATATTTATATTAATAATAATCATCACCATTGTGTCCTCTGTGCAATGTTGGTAATTATTATTAATAATATAATAACTGCTCTGATCCATATTTATATTACGAACGTGAATATTAATAGTGATATGTATTACTATCAGTTCCCGACGAATATTAATAAATGATAATAATTCTGGAATTTTGATATGGCGCCTTATCGCGTCTTTGTGACGTCTCAAAGCGCTTCACAGGATACGCTGTACGGTAACGGTTCAATAAACCATCGCTGTGTCTGTTCTCCCGACTCGTGGCCGGGACCCGGATCGCCACTGACCTGAGCCGAACATTCCCCGTCTCAGCCCCAGCAGCGGCTCACACGCTCTCTCTCTCTCTCTCTCTCTCTCTCCGCACTGACCAGAGCTCACACTCACTCTCTCACTCGGCCTCACACTCGCCGTCTCTGTCTGTCTGCATCGGCCTCACACTCACTCTCTGTCTGCAGTGTACTCGCACACTCTCTCTCTCTCTCTCTCGCTGTACTCTCTCTCTCTCGCTGTACTCTCACTCTCTCTCTCTCTCTCTCGCTGTACTCTCTCTCTCTCTCTCGCTGTACTCTCTCTCTCTCTCGCTGTACTCTTGCACACTCTCTCTCTCTCTCTCTCGCTGTACTCTCACACTCTCTCTCTCTCTCTCGCTGTACTCTCACACTCTCTCTCTCTCGCTGTACTCTCACTCTCTCTCTCTCTCGCTGTACTCTCTCTCTCTCTCGCTGTACTCTTGCACACTCTCTCTCTCTCTCTCTCGCTGTACTCTCACTCTCTCTCTCTCTCTCTCTCTTGCTGTACTCTCACACTCTCTCTCTCTCTCGCTGTACTCTCACACTCTCTCTCTCGCTGTACTCTCTCTCTCGCTGTACTCTCACACTCTCTCTCTCGCTGTACTCTCGCACACTCTCTCTCTCTCTCTCTCGCTGTACTCTCGCACACTCTCTCTCTCTCGCTGTACTCACACTCTCTCTCTCTCGCTGTACTCTCACACTCTCTCTCTCTCTCTCGCTGTACTCTCACACTCTCTCTCTCTCTCTCGCTGTACTCTCGCACACTCTCTCTCTCTCTATCGCTGTACTCTCTCTCTCGCTGTACTCTCACACTCTCTCTCTCTCGCTGTACTCTCGCACACTCTCTCTCTCTCTATCGCTGTACTCTCTCTCTCGCTGTACTCTCACACTCTCTCTCTCTCGCTGTACTCTCGCACACTCTCTCTCTCTCGCTGTACTCTCACACTCTCTCTCTCGCTGTACTCTCACACTCTCTCTCTCTCGCTGTGCTCTTGCACACTCTCTCTCTCGCTGTACTCTCTCTCTCTCTCTCTCTCGCTGTACTCTCACACTCTCTCTCTCTCTCGCTGTGCTCTCTCTCTCTCTCGCTGTACTCTCACACTCTCTCTCTCTCGCTGTACTCTCGCACACTCTCTCTCTCTCGCTGTGCTCTTGCACACTCTCTCTCTCTCGCTGTGCTCTTACACACTCTCTCTCTCTCGCTGTACTCTCTCTCTCTCTCTCGCTGTACTCTCACACTCTCTCTCTCTCGCTGTACTCTCGCACACTCTCTCTCTCTCTCTCGCTGTACTCTCACACTCTCTCTCTCTCTCGCTGTACTCTCGCACACTCTCTCTCTCTCGCTGTGCTCTTGCACACTCTCTCTCTCTCGCTGTACTCTCTCTCTCTCTCTCTCTCGCTGTACTCTCACACTCTCTCTCTCTCTCTCTCGCTGTACTCTCGCACACTCTCTCTCTCTCTCGCTGTACTCTCTCTCTCGCTGTACTCTCACACTCTCTCTCTTCGTCTCTCACACCCCTGTACTCTCACACTCTCTCTCTCTCTCCGACTCTCACACTCTCTCTCTCTCACTCTCTCTCTCTCTCTCTCTCTGTACTCTTGCACACTCTCTCTCTCTCTCTCGCTGTACTCTCGCACACTCTCTCTCTCTCGCTGTGCTCTTGCACACTCTCTCTCTCTCGCTGTACTCTCTCTCTCTGTCTCTCTCGCTGTACTCTCGCACACTCTCTCTCTCTCTCTCTCTCGCTGTACTCTCTCTCTCGCTGTACATTGACGCTCTCACTCTCTCTCTCTCGCTGTACTCTCTCTCTCGCTGTACTCTCACTCTCTCTCTCTGCTCTCTCACCTCTCTCTCTCGCTGTACTCTCACACTCTCTTTCTCGCTGTACTCTTGCACACTCTCTCTCTCTCTCTCGCTGTACTCTCACACTCTCTCTCTCTCTCTCGCTGTACTCTCTCTCTCGCTGTACTCTCTCTCTCTCTCTGTCTCTCTCGCTGTACTCTCGCACACTCTCTCTCTCTCTCTTCGTGCTATGTTCCTATTGCAGCAGCAGCCAAACCTCAGCAGCAAAATCTGTTCAACCAACTTTTAAGTTACTTTGTTGTTAATTTCCAGCCCATGTGCCCATTGCTGCTACCGATTCCTTTGCATTATTTTTGCAATGTGTTATTACCTTCTGTAAATTACCTTCGTAATTTCCACGCAGCAGCTCCCCTGCGCGGTCCATTGCACCCCTCAAAGCTCCCATTATAATAAATAACCCTTGCGTTTGGTACAGCGCTTTGTCACGTCTTCGAGGCGTCTCAAAAGCGCTTCACCGAACAGACTCTAAAGTGAATCGACTCCTATATTTTGTGGGCGAAACACGCAGTCCCACAAGCAGCCGTGGGTCGAAGTGGCCGGTTGTATTGTTGTGGTTTTTTTTGGAAGGATTATTATCAGGGTTGCGTGCGCGGAGTCAGGAGACTCGCCCGAGGCAAACGCGCAAACCCACACGCACTCGCACATTGATGAGATTGTGGGTAGATTTGCGCATTGGCCTCGTTGCATTCTTTTTGGTTTTGCTGGTATCATTTCTCTCTTTACTGTGCACATTAGTATTTTTTTGGCCCATCATCAGTTGGATTTTAGCTGATGTGAAATGCACGTTTAATATTTCCCACCACAACTCCCCACTTCCCCTCGCGCTCTCTCCCCTTCTTCTCCCTCACTCTCTCTCTCTCTCAAACTCCCTCCCTCCCTCCACCTCAACCTGCCTCAAGGAGATTTTGCAATAATAATAATCCTTCCATTTGATTTAGCGCCTTATCATGTGGCCGAAACATCTCAAAGCGCTTTGCAGGGCAAAACCTTAGGCACGTTTCCCTACTCCACACGCCTCTGTTTACTCAGCAGTAAGTAGGAACCCGGTTGTTAATTGATTGGCGGATCGCTTTCTTGGGGTAGTAATCCCTCAAAAAAAAATAGTTTGGTCACTCAATCTACAACTGTTTGTAGGACACTGCTGTGCGCAATTGGCTGCCACATTTCGCCCACAAAACATACAGTCAGTACACTTTACAGTATATGCTGTGAAGCGCTTTGGGACGTCTCGAAGACGTGATAAGGCACTATATCAGATGCAGGGAGTATTATTACAGTATTACGATCAAGTGGATTGACTGGGTATTTTGGAGTCCTGCAGCTCAGTGGTTAGAGCACTCGCTTTGCAAGTGAGAGACCTGAGTTCAATTCCAGGCAGAGGGCGAAACCTTGGGCAAGTTTCCTTACTCCACACAGAGCCTAATAATAATCCCTCCAAAACCAAAAACAATAATAAATTGGTCATTTTCAATCTACGACTGTTTGTGGGACATTGCTGTGCGCAATTGGCTGCCGCGTTCGCCCACAAATATACAGTCAATTCACTTTACAGTGTACTCTGTGAAGCGCTTTGGGACGTCCTCCCGACGTGAAAAGCGCTATATCAAATGCAAGGATTATTATTATTATTATTATTATTTTGTGGGTAAAACGCAGCAGCCAGTTGCAGGCAGCAACACCCTGCAAACAGCCTGGGTTTAGCATCTCATCCGAAGGATGTGGTGGTGTGCAGACAGTTGTCTTAATTGTTTTCCTGAATGCACATTTAATGAATCACAACAACCCCCCCCCCCTCCGCACCTCCCTCCCCCACCCACCTCTCCTCTCTCCCTCCCCGCCAAGGCATTGCAACCTGACTGTTCATTCCCGCTTACAAATCTGTTGAATATGATTTATTTTTTTCTCTCCAGGATCCTAAGGCCACCTTTTTAACGTGCCAACGTCCCATCAATCTACACGGAGTGAGTGCACTGCTCCCCGCGGTCTCAAACAACCCGACAGTGTTCCTGATGCTGTGCTTGGGCTGCCTCGCACCGAGGTTGCTATAGGAACTGCTCTTTCGGAAAAATTGCGCTGTGTTTGCTTGCCCGAGCGACGGGTTTTATATCCAGGGCTCCTCTGGGTTGCCATCGGAACGCCATGGTTTATTCTCACCCAGCGCTCGATCCGGTTTCGCTGCCTCACAGGCTTTCCTGTTCTTTTACGATAAATAATAAACCTCTACATTGGCACAGCGCCTAAGGGCAGCGTCAAAATGTCTCACCATCATACTCACTGACTGTGTCTCACACACAATCTCTCTCTCTTACACACACACACACACACACACACTCTAATCTCTCCCTCTTTCTTTCTCTCTCCCTCTCTCTCTCAAACACACATAGTCTGTTTCACATACAATCTCTCTCTCGCACACAGTCTTTATCTCTCTCTCACACACACACAAACACACAGTCACTCACACGCATGAGGGACATGAATTGCAACAGACATCATTTCATTAACGCCATATGCTGCCAAACAAATCAACACAAAACACTTGGCAGGGCATTTTAAGAGGGTGAGTGACAGCATTCTTCTATACAGGGCTGGACCTGTTGGAGACCGTTCATTAGCTGGTGATGAGGTGACAGGAGTGAGTGTGTCTTCACAGCAGTCCTGAACCTGTCAGTCAGACTCCCATTTGGCCGATGAGAACAGAGTTGAACGTGAAAAGCCACCCAAAGCAGGAAGCGTCTCCATGACAATAATGAGGCGATGGTAATCTTGATTACTTGCAGTGTATTGGTCAGAGCACTCGCCTCGCAAGCGAGAGGACCCGGGTTTGATTCCGGGCAGAGCGAAACCTTAGGCAAGTTTTCTTATTCCACACGCCTCTGTTTACCGAGCAGTACGTAGGAACCTGGTTGTTAGTTGATTGGTGGATCGCTTTCCGGGGGTAGTAAACCCTCCCAAAAATTTTGGGTCACTGAATCCACGACTGTTTGTGGGATGTTGCTGTGCGCAATTGGCTGCCGTGTTTTGCCTACAAAATACACAGTCAATTGATTTTACAGTATATTCTGTGAAGCGCTTTGAGACGTCTCAAAGACGTGATAAGTCGCTATATTATTATTACCTTAGGCCAGAATGCAGAGCGCAGAACGCTTGTGGCTCAGTCACTAACACTCCTCCCGCTGTTGACTGGAGGTTGTGAGTTTGAGTCCCAT